CCTGCCAAGGTACTGAGACTCACAGCCCAGCCCAGCCAGGCTGACACATACCACTTTACCTAGCAAGGACAAACAGACCGGTCTAGAACAGCTAGAGCAACAGAAGATACATCTTCAAAGATAGATCATCAGGAAAAACCCAAAACAAAAATGTCAGCATGACTGGCTACTACAAGAATAAGCAAGTTGTTTGCCAGGAAGTCATCAAGGCAAGCAATCAAGTTCCTTCAGGACAAACTCCCCTCTAAGACTGAAACTCAAAGGGAACACATAAGCAGGCATGTAAGCTTGCTGGCGACCACATTGGTCTACTGGTAAGTGGAAGAGGGAGAAAGGCAGCAATGAAGAAATGGGATGAGTTCTCCCACAGTCCATTGACTCCTGTTGACCTGGAGATGAGAGAGAGAAGAGGAAGGACTGGTTGGTCCAAAGTGTGGTGAGATCTGGGGACACCTGAGCCCATGGACAAGGACATAGACACGGAGGGCTAGAGCTGAGAGTGAAGCATCCAGCTGATATGAAGTGAGGGGAGATACACAAGAACACCCAAACTTACAGACAGTACCCATTTAACCTAGCCTCAATGGCTTGATAATCAGAACCTCAACTAGAGGAAGATTTAAACAAAACAAAACAAAAAAAATTTTTTTAAATGATGCAAGGATGAATTGCTACAATTTGATAAACCTGACCTATACTCATGGAGTTAGTAACTTTAAATACCAATGGAGAGGGAAGGAGTCGTCACATCAAGTACCAATGCTATCCCCTCTGTACACAAGGTGCATAGGAACAGGCAACTTAGACAATGGCTACCTAAAATAGGGGGAGGAGGGCTATAAAGGCGCAAAGTGACTGGCTTACAAGGTTTCATGATGGAATTTAGTTTAAGAGTGTGTGGGGAAAGAGAGTTCCCACTGAATAGTTTTCATCTTGTCTAAATGGGTCTGGTGAAAAGAGGTGGGGATAAGATTCTTATGATTTAATAGTGAGTAATTGTTATCATGACTAATTGCTACTGTCACAATTGTAAAATTAGAAGTTTTGTAGCAAAAACAGGGGAGTTGGTTAATCTTACAGTCCAGAAACAAAGGACCCTAGGATCATTAAGGGAGAAGAGCACAAGCAGAATGCGGGACCTCATCCAGAGAAGAAGCGATCAATGCCAGAGACCAGAGATTGGGACGTGGAGCGGGGAGCAGCTGAAGACTCTAGATTCATGGGAAGAGAGGGACTAAGAGCTGGCGGCCAGGAGACATACTTGCAGAATGTGCCCTTTGGAGGTGTAAATTATTATATATGCCTGTGGTTTTTGTTGTGTTTTTTTTAAAAAGAGCTAAAGTGAATAGTGAGAAATACTGTTAATTGATGATACATGGAGGGGATCATAATCATTGTAGTGAAACAAGGTGTATGATTTCGTCAATGTAAAGCTGATGATCTGCCCTGTAAACTTTCACTCAATCCACAACAAAAACCTTAAAATAAAGGGAGGGGGGACTAGAGGTAAATACTGTTGACTGATGGTACATGGAGAGGATTGTAATAATTGCAATGAAGCAAAATATGATTTATGGAATGTAACTGATAATCTGCCTGGTAAACTTTAACTCAATTCACAATTAAAACGTCTTTAACAATTTTTTAAAAAAAGATGGTGGGATTCTTCCACGACCAATTTGAAGCCTCCTCATATGTATGTGTGCGTTTTGAGTGTATATACACGTACATATTTGTACATTTGTCATTGTGGGTGGATACAAGGTCACAGTGTAAAAGGTGCTTCTCTCTGGATTCTTGTCTCTAGAAGGCCTGAGAATCTCTTTTCCACAGCGTAGCTGGTGAGAAACGGCATGTCTGCTCTGCACCGTGGCAGGCGTCACTAATTAATCACAGCATGCTTTTCTCCCACTGAGCTTGGGTGGAACTTTGAAATTCTTCTCTGCACAGTGTGCTGGGCAGCTTCACCAAACAGAGCTGCCACAAGATAGAACTTCATTATTTGTTATGTCTGTCCCAGGGAAAGCGTAAAGTTATAGGATCTGCAGGGAAGAAATATCTGAGAACAAAATTTTAAAGGAAGGATCACGAAATGTGAATGATAAATGGAGTCAGCGGGAGAGACACTGGTAATGGCTGAGCCGAGTGTGTTTAGGTTTAGATGTTTCCAGACTGTATGGTGATGGCAAAGATGAGCAAAGACCTTCCTATTAACTCTTCCTAGCTCCCCACACAAATATCTGCCTTCTAGCTTTGAGTTCCAGAGAGCCATGTATTACTCCATAATTGTTACAATACTCCCAAGTGCCTTTGATCACCGAAGAGCTGGTGTCTGTATGGTTAAATTTAGCCCTGGGCAGATGGGAAGCACTTTGAAAGTGTTAGCTTCCTGCAGCTGCAATTCCATTTATCCTGGTTCTATCAATTTCTCAGAGAAGGGAGACCCTGCTGAGGGCCTGGCCTGTTGGTTTACATTATCTAAACTCCAAGATGGTACTCCCTGGTGATGCAAATGGTGAACGCAACGCGCTCAACTGCTAACCCAAAGGCTTGGGCGCCTGCTTCCAAAAAGATCACAGTATTGAGAAAGCTGTGGAGGAGCCGAGTTCTACTGTGACTCACATGGGGTCGCCCTGAGTTGGGGCTGGCTAAGTTTCAACTAGTGGGACTTCAAGATACAAATCAGGTGTGATTGAATGTGTTGAGAATGTTGCTTTGTGAGTTTGTGGAGGGCTTTAAGGCCAGGAGACAAAAGCACTAGACATCTGCATCCAATGAAGCCTGGGTTCCTCTCACCAGATGATTTCTTCTAGGTCGGCTGTTGGACATTCTCCATACCAAGGGCCAGAGGGGCTATGTGGTCTTCTTGGAGAGTCTGGAGTTTTACTATCCAGAACTATACAAACTGGTGACTGGGAAGGAGCCCACCCGGAGATTCTCCACCATTGTGGGTAAGTGATTTTGCCATCAGGAACATTGGGATCCTAGTGGGAGGTGTGTGTGTGTGTGTGTTTGTGTGTGTGTGTGTGTATGTGTGTGTTCAGTGGTGGAACAATTCTAAAGGTGTGAATCTACACCTTGTGGGTTTGTCAAATGTCAACCATCTATCCCTCTCTGATGATGAAGAGGAGTCCCTGGATGGTGCAAATGGTGAACACGCTGGTTCACCATTGAATCAGCCATTGAGAAACCCTGTGGAGCACAGTTGTACCCTGACGCATGTGACATTGGCATGAGTTGTTTGGAGTCAATGGTGACAGTTAATGATGAAAAATAAGAGACAGAGGGGCCAAGTGAAAAAGAATCCCAGAGACATGGGTGTTCATGAAACACTCCACATGAGTGGGGTCCTAAGTGAGAACAGAAATTCTTTCTGCCTTCTTTTTTGCCATTGGCTTGCCCTTTCTCTTGCCATTGCCCCATGGGTCTGAGCCCTTGATTATCTAACCCCTTAATTGTCCTTTCTAAATATTCTTCAGTCATTCTTCCCTTCATCTCCACCATTACCCCACCAGTCCAGAGCACCATCAACTCTCTAGGCCCACTCTCGGTCTGCTCTTGTCTGTCTCTGTTCATCTCATGTTACCTTGAAACCTGTCTGTGGTTTCCCATTGAGCCTATGTAAAGAACCAGGTCTTTAACACAGCCCACAAGGACCCTACACAACTCAGCCTCCTGGCATGGAGGGTAAGACCCCCAGGCTCACCTTTCTGTCTCTACCTCTTCCTGTCTCTCTGGACTCCAGAACTCGGTCTTCCTTCAGTTCCTGAAGTAGGCCAAGCCTTTACCCTCCCATATCATATGGACTTGGCAATGTTATTCTACCTGCTAGAATGCTTTTTCCTTTTTCAATTTGGTGTTTCAGCTCAACTATCAGAATCCTTCTCTAACCACTCTGCCCATCAGGCTGGATCTGCTTGCACACACACACACACAAACACACACAGACATTGCATGAATGCAGTAGGTTGCCTCAATCTCCAGATTCCACGTCTCCAGCAGACTACTAGGATGAAGAGTCATCCAGTAAAATCAATCCCTCTATGGATGCTCCATCTATCTAGTCTAATTGAGTTGTACAGATGAGACACACCCTGTTGGCAAAGTGGAAGCTATAGTGATTACTCAGTAGCCACCCAGAATCCTCCTTGTTTCTATCCATTTTCCTCTAAAGCCCCACACTTCCTTGAAGCAGGAGTGGTTGAATAGGGTCCCAATTCTACTGACACCAAGTTCTTGGACCCACATACTCTGTCTCTCATAAGTCCCTGAAATTCACTCAATCTATAATTGTATTTGTATGTGATCTTTTTCTAAATATAAGCACACCTCACCTTACTGTTTTTTAGAGGTATTACTTTTATTTACATACTGAAGGTTTATAGCAGCCCTGTGCTGAGCAAGTCTATCAGTACCAGTTTTCTAGCAGCATATGTACACTTTGTTCTCTGTGTCCCATTTTGGTATATCTCACAATATTTCAAAAACTTTTTCATAATGTTATTGCATACTTAACAGACTACAGTCTAGTGTAAAAATAACTTTCATCTGCACTGGGAAACCAAAAAAAAAAAAAAACGTGTGTAACTCTCTTCACTGCAGTACTAGCTTTATTGTGGTGGTCTGGAACTAAATGGTCAGTTCCTCAAAGGTATGCCTGATGCCATCTGTCCCCCTTCATGGTCCATAAGTTTGACTACTGAGACCGAGTCTGTTTTGCCCACTCTGAGCCCCCAGTTCCCGTAGGCATTGCTGAGTGGATACTTGAGTGAGTGACATATCTGGTGTCCTCCTGGGTCCTGACTGATGCCCCCCTTGGCAGTGGAGGAGGGCCACGAGGGCCTCACGCACTTCCTAATGAACGAGGTCATCAAGCTGCAGCAGCAGATGAAGGCCAAGGACCTGCAACGCTGCGAGTTACTGGCCAAGTCCAGGCAGCTGGAGGACGAGAAGAAGCAGCTGACCCTCACGCGGGTGGAGCTGCTGACCTTCCAGGAGCGGTACTACAAGATGAAGGAGGAGCGCGACGGTTACAATGACGAGCTGGCCAAGGTCAAGGACGACAACTACAACTTGGCCATGCGCTATGCCCAGCTCAGCGAGGAGAAGAACATGGCAGTAATGAGGAGCAGGGACCTCCAGCTCGAGGTGAGGACATGGTGAGGGGCTAGTGGTGAAGCTGAATGAGAGGGACACAAATGTTGCTAGTGCTCAAGACCACCACATGGGCATGTGCAGACAGGAGAGGCCCTGGAGCATTGTCCAGCCAAATGAGGGGAAATGGTAGACCCAGGAGACCACAGGACCATAATGCACATGCTCGGACTTGCTCACACAAGCACTTCAAGCAGCCAGCTCCACCATGCACATGTACAAACATTCACATACGGAGATAGTAGAGCTTTTGCAGGGAGCTTCCCAATCCCCAGACCTCTAGATCCAACACATACAAGTGCAAGCATGGGACATGGTCTCCTGGAGTCTCATCCCAGCAAAATGACAGGGAATAGTGGACACAGACACCATGGACCCATGCAGCCCCCTCTGGTAACCCAATCCACCTTGCACATGTGCAGATGTGCTGTGGCCCTCAGGGACTTCCTTATACCTCAAGCTCCCAAATCCTCCAGGCGTGTGTGCAGATATGCGCACACCCCAGCTCAGGAAACCAGATCCGCCATACACCTGACCTGAGAGGGAATGGGTGACATTGGAGCTCAGGGCCCCAGTTTCTGGTACTCAGGAAAACTTCCTAAGAACGGACACAGCACCTGTTCAGTAGAGACATGAGCCCCTTGGCGCATGTCAAAATGTGCCTGCCGCATTTTGTTGTTGAGGATGGCGCAGGACTGGGTGATGTTTTGTTCTGTTGTACATGGCATAGCCATGAGTCAGAACTGACTTCATAATATCCAACAAGGACAACAAGGGAGCCAGTGGGACTGGAGCCAAATGAGCAGGTGCTACAAAATGAGGTGGGAGAGATGGCCAGGGGGTACAGTCAGGACTTCAGAATTTATTCGAGTCTAGTGATAGGAAGTCACTGAAAGATTGAGGGCCAGGGAGTGACAGCTGATTTAGGTCTGGAAGGATCACTCCAGCTGCTGTGAAGAACAGACTCGAAGAATATTTATTAAGCACCTGCCATGTGTAAGGTACTGTGCTAAGCACTATGAGGGACGTAGGGATAAATAACCTGAACTCTGCTCAAGTCACTTACAATTCAGTGATGCAGATGGATGGCCAAACTATCAACTGGAATCCAGGGTCCCATGAGTCTGTGCTGGTGTGGCCAGTGAGGGGCATGGGTTAAAAGCAATGCTGGACTCAGAAATGGTTCATTCCGGTCCAACCCACTGCTGAGAATTGCCTTTCCTGATATACTGAATCAAAGCCTACGTTTCTTTTGTGTGTGTGTGTGTGTGTGAATTGTGTGAAGGTTTACAGAGCAGATCATTGGTTTTACATTCAGCAAATCATACACTTTGCTTCAATACAATAATTGCAAGCCCCTCCGTGCACCAACATTAACAGCACTGACCTCTATTCACTTAACTACTGCTTTCCTCCTTGTGTTTCCCACTACCTTAATCTTTCCTCTGCTAACCTCCCTCTTGTTGTGTATTAGCTGCCCTATCACCTATGTTAACTAACATGTGTTGATCTTCTAGCCATTAATAGTTTTCCCTCCCATTCCCCTCCATACCCATCATAGATCATTTATTTTTATCAAGAAAACTTTTTAACTTTTTACAGTATTGATCTCATACAAGATTTGTCTTTTTTTTCTTTTTTGTAATTGACTAATTTTACTCAGTATAAACATCCATAGATGAACCTGATGTGAGGTGTCTCACAGATTCATCATTAGTCTTCAGCATTCCGTTGTATGTATGTACCAAAGTTTGTTTAAGCATTCTTATGTTGATGGGTATGTAGGCTGTCTCCAACTTTTCGATGTGTCTCTTGCAGGCTGCATATTGATGGATCAGAACCTGCGTTTCTTTTTGAATATTTGGTTGTTTCAAGTGAAAGTTTGCATAGCAAATTTGACCCGAATAGAGATTGTTCCATGACGTTGGTTGCATCCCTGCGCTGTTATCAGCACTCTCCCGATATCCAGATGTCTGGTTTCCTGCCTTTCTCTGTCTTCTCATCTTTGGTCCTGGGCACATGTCACCCGCTAATCTCATAAAGTTGATTTTTCTGAGGGACATATCATCCACAGGCATGTTTGTTCTATAGTCCCAGCTGTTACTGGACTGGAAGGTGGTCTCTGGAGTGTGTCCAGTTTCAGGTTAGAAGGTTTTCTCAGGACAGTAGTCTCAGAGGTTCTGCCAGTCTCTTTCCAACCAGCAAGTCTGGTGAAGAATCTACATTTTTAATGAAATCCCCAGAGACTCTTATGAGGAACTTGTTAAAATGTACAGTAGATTGAGAATCAGTAGATCTGGGCTAGAAAGGCAAATTCTCAGTACAGGGTTTGAACTGAAATGAACCGGTTGGAAGCCCAGGTTAAAGGCATGAGCTTGTATGGCCGGAAGGTTGGAGTTCAACTCCAAGCTCCTGCTTTAACCACAGTTGGCTCTTAGCTTCAGTTTCCTCATTTGTAAATGCCAGTGATGAAAATCATATGTGGACCTCCAGGGTTGCTGGGTGGAGTGAAAGAGGGAAGGCACCGTAAATCTAACGCAGAGTGGCTCATTTCAGTAGTACCCCCCCTGCAATGCTAACATCCTATGCCCACTAGAGTGGGCTGAGGATAGGATCCCTGGTAGTGCAGAAGGTTAAGGTGCTGGACTGCTAACGAAAAGGTCAACCCCATCAGTGGCTTTGCAGAAGAAAGCTGCAGCAGCCTGTTTCTGTCAGTCATGATTTACAGCCTGGGAAGCGCTGTGAGGCAGTTCTGTTCTGACACAGGAGGCTGCTATGAGTCACAGTCGACTCAATGGCCCCCAGTAATAACACAGAAACTATCAGGACCCTCCATGAACAAAGAGACAGTGGTTGGTTTGACTGAAGGGGGATCTCTGTTCTACCCACTGAAATAGGGGTCATGCAGGGGGCACCCCAGGGCAGCATTGCCCCTCTCTGAGGGCATCTTGCCAGCTGCGTGCTCCCATTGGGGTATTTCAGATTGACCAGCTGAAGCACAGACTGAACAAGATGGAGGAGGAATGCAAGCTGGAGAGGAACCAGTCTCTGAAGCTCAAGAACGACATCGAGAACCGGCCCAAGAGGGAGCAGGTGCTGGAGCTGGAACGCGAGAACGAGATCCTAAAGACCAAAGTCCAGGAGCTACAGTCTGTCATCCAGGTGAGCAGTGCACGTGCGCATGGGGCCACTGTGGTCTGGAAGCTCTGGCCCTCCGTGGCAGGCACTGGGGCCTGGCTTCCCTCCTCTGCCTAGTCGGCTGTCCAATGGGAGGTGGTACTTGTGGGCGCTCCCCAGGAAACCCCCATTCCCACCACGCCATGCCCTGGCCCACTAGGAGAAAGCATGCTAGGATACCCAGTTGCCCTTCACAAATCCTGGTAAACACGGTCCTCAGGCCTGCACCTCCCTGCAGGCCACCTTCTGCAGGGATGAAGGAGGGAGGAACGGCTTCCTTACAGCAGCAGCCGTGGGAAGGGACAGGCAGGTGTCCCCTTCCCCCAGAATGACCCTCCCATTCCAACTGGCTGTCTGTGCTTCAGAGTGGAGTGAACTCGTCTGGGTTGGACCAGAGTAGATAGTGTTCCTGGAGGGGTGTCTGGAGTCAGATCAGCCCCCCTTTGGTATCACCTGTGAAGTGTTCTGAGGCTCCAAGAAGAGCTGAAGGAACAGCAGGAGTCAGGAGACCCCAGGGAAGTGGGTCAGACTGCTTCCCAGGTAAGACGCTTGTGCTACTGTGTTCCTGGCTCCAGCCACTGCTGGCTGTGTGTCCACCGCTGGCCCTGAGCCCTCCCCCACATGTGCAACTCACCCTGAGCCCTCCCCACCTGCCCCCAGGCCGGGAAGCGCAGCCTGCCCGACTCTGACAAGGCCATCTTGGACATCCTGGAACATGACCGGAAGGAGGCCCTAGAGGACCGACAGGAACTGGTTAACAAGATCTACAACCTGCAGGAGGAGGCCCGCCAGGCCGAGGAGCTGCGAGACAAGGTGGGCCACTCAACCTCTGAACCCCAGCACCCACCGGGCCCCTTGCAGTTGCTTCGTCTGTCACTTGTATGTGTTCGCTTAGAAGAGGTAACAGTGGCTCTGTAGACTCACACTTTCTGTGTGGGAAACCCGGGTTCGAGTCCTGGCCAAGGCACATCATGTGCAGCCACCACCATCTGTCAGTGGAGGCTTGGGTGTGATGCTGCATAGATTTCACGGGAGCTTTCAGCCTGAGACAGACTTAGAAAGAAAGACCTGGGAACTAGGCAGTGAAAAACTGAGCGGCTCACAACTGTCTAACCTGCAGCCTGTCTGGAGCACATTCTGTATCTAGGGGGTCACTGTGAGTCAGGGTGACTTGAAGGAAGTTAACAGTGACAACTATTAGCTTAACACTTGTCCTCCCCCCAGACAGTAGGCCCAGCAGTGCACAGTGTCCACATGGTCCCCAGGGCCCACCAGCCGCTCCTCGGAAACCCTATACAGGGTCGCTGATGAGTCAGAACTTAACAACAACTGCATGCCAATAGATGACAGTCTAGTGTAAACATCTGTTTTCTACATACTGGGAAACCACAACATTCCTGTAACTCACTTCACTGTGATAGTCTCTTCATTGCTGGGTCTGAAACCAGCCCGCATTATCTCCAAAGTTGGCCTATAACCGGTCTGCAGCAAACCTCATTTGGGTTGCTGCCCTTGAACTGCGATCCCTCCCAGCCAGATACCTGACTCTCAGAGACAGGTGAGGTCCTGACCCACCAGGCCGCCTGCAGACACCCTGCCCTGTCGCTTGTCTCCATGGGGCCTGCAGTACCTCGAGGGGAAGGAAGACCTGGAGCTGAAGTGCTCGACGCTGGGGAAGGACTGTGAGATGTACCGGCACCGCATGAGCACTGTCATGCTGCAGCTGGAGGAGGTGGAGCGGGAACGCGACCAGGTACAGCCAGCACCAGGCTTGGGTGTCTCCCAAAGGCAAATTCTGTCCCCAGGGGTTTGGAATCGACAGGCATTTGGGCTCTGAGCAGCCTAAGCCTGATGCAGATGAATGGTACGGGCTAACATCCAGGTCCTGGGGATTCTGCATGCTTATCTGTGAAATGGGTTCACAGGGTGAGACTGTACTAGGGCATGCTGCCTGGTGTGTCACAAGGGCTGGACAGACAGCGGAGGGGGAGTCAGGCAGACCAGAGTGTCCAGTACTAAAGCCTGGAGTGGGGGTTTCCAACTGAGTGTGAGTCCCAGGTACCCCTCCCCCGCAGGCCTTCCATTCCCGGGATGAGGCCCAGACCCAGTACTCCCAGTGCCTCATAGAGAAGGACAAGTACCGGAAACAGATCCGGGAGCTGGAGGAGAAGAATGATGAGATGCGCATCGAGATGGTGCGGCGGGAGGCTTGTATCGTCACCTTGGAGAGCAAGCTGCGGCGCCTGGCCAAGGACAGCAGCCTTGACCAGGTGGGTCCCGAGGCCCAGCGGGCAGCCTCTACCTGATAGGTCGCCTTCATGGGACAGGAGCCTCCACTGAGCAGGCTGCCTCTACTGGATGATCCTGGTGGCCAGCTTCGGGCAGCAGCCCATCCATCTGATGCTCCTAACAGGGTCGATGCCTCTCTCTCTGAGAGGTCCCCATAATGGTTCCACGTCAGATTTTTGGGGGCACCATGAGTTTAGGGCAGCCAGGAACAAGTAGCTTCATCCGCTCTGTGAAGAGTGATTCGCCCACACAACACTCACAGCACACGTGGGACCCCAACGCATGAGGCGATTGCATGTTGTGTGTGTGAAAACCAGGTGCTTGTCCACTCAGAAGCACCATGAAAAAAAGATCTGGCCATCTACCTCCAAAGACTCGGCCACTGAAAATCCTGTGGAGCACAGTTCTACCCTGGCCCACATGCAACAACAGTGGGAATTTGGTGCATTAGATTTCGGGCCCAGAGCAGGCCCTGAAGTGTAATGCCTTCACCCATAGAGAAGGCAGGTCTGGGAGGAGACAGATGGTGGAATCTGGATGGACAGGGTGGCGGAGCCCACTGTTCGCTGACCCTGGCGTGGCACCATTTCACCCCAGAGCCTGCCCCGGAACCTGCCAGTGACCATCATCTCCCAGAGTTTTGGGGACACCGGCCCCAGGGCCAATGGTCAGGAGGCTGACGATTCCTCCACTTCAGAGGATTCGCCCGAGGACAGCAAGTACTTCCTGCCCTACCACCCACCCAAGCGCAGGATGAACCTGAAGGGCATCCAGGTACTGGAGGGGGTGTGGGCCATGTGGTCACAAGGCTGTGAGCAGAGGGGACCAGAGGAGTCGAGTACAAGGGTCCCAGGCCTAACCCCCACTCTATTCCCTCTCAACAGCTCAGGCTGTTTACCTCTATGTTCTGACCAGTTCCCTCATCCTTGGTAAATGTTTAGAAAACAAAGGAAATAATTGTTATTTCCGGGTTCATTCATTTATTCAGCAAGTACAGCCTTAGTGAGTGCCTAACACAAATGAGGGCCTAACAGCAGTGGCACAGGAGTTAAAGCACTTGGCTGCCAGCTGAAAGGTCAGCAGTTCAAACCCACCAGGCACTCTGCAAGAGAAAAAGATGAGGCCGTCTGCCTCAGTAAAGGTGACAATCTTGGAAGCTCTATGGGGACAGAATCGCCTCAATGTCAAAGAGCTTATTTGTTTTTTTAATAAGCAGAAGTAAGTGCTGGTGGCATTGTGGATTAGGTGATGGGCTGCTAACCACCAAGACTCCTGGTCTGTTAGGTAATGGGGTGAATTTCCACAAAGCAGACCACACTACCAGGCAGCAGGTAATCAGATCTCTTGGTGGGGAGGCCCCGTTTTTACAAGAGCTGTATTGCTACATGGCAAGTTGCACCTGTTTATGGTGCACACCTGGCTGCGTTTGCACCTGTGAAATCACAGCCGCTATTCCCTCTTGATTACGAATCCTGGTGTGGCGCTGAGGGTTAATGCATTGGACTGCAAGATTGGTTTGAACTGCAAGGTTGGTGGTTCAAGCTTACCAGCTGCTCCTCAGAAACCCTATACAGGGTTGGTATGAGTCAGAACCGACTCAGCGGCACTTAACAACAACAGCAACAATTCATTCATGATTTGGAGTCCTGGTGTGGTACTATGGGTTAATGCACTGTCCTGCAAGGTCGGTGGTTCAAAATTACCATCCACTCCTCAGAAACCCTATACAGGGTCACTTTGCATCAGAACTGACTTGATGGCTCTTAACAACAAGAACATTAACTCTTGATGAGATAATGAATATCTTCGTCTCCCCCAGTTTCTTTGTGCCCGTTGTATACCCCCTACCCATCTCTCCAGCTGCCCCCCCCAAGCCCTGTGGTTGTGTTCTCTGGTAGTGGCCCTTATGCATGGTCCCTCTTTGGGGACCCAGCCGTCTTTATGACATGGCCCTACCTCTGTGGAGCTCACTGGCCACCAGCAGAAAGGGCACCTGCCACTTAGGGTCAGAAGTCATGCAAGAGGCCAAACCTACATTGTCATCTCCACTCCCCACCTTGTGTGACCCTGAGCCAAGTACCTAGTTGCTTTGATGGCATACTGGGTTATGCACTGGGCTGCTAACCACAAGGTCAGCAGTTCAAATCCAATAGTTGCTCTGTGGAGAAAGATTCACAGCCTTAGGAGCTGTATACAGGGTCACAAGGAGTCAGAATCTACTTGATAACAATGGTTTTTAAAGAAGGTGAGGACACAATGGGGTAAGGAGCCCTGGTGGCTCTGTGGGTTAGGTGTTGGCTGCTAACCATAAGGTCAGTGGTTAAAACCTACTAGTCACTCCACAGGAGAACAATGAGGCTGTGTGAGGCTGTACAGAAGTCCTGTACAGGGTCACCAGCAGTTGGAATGGACTTAGCGACAATGGGTTTGGGTGGGATCATGAGGGTAGAAGCCCTAGTGATGCTAAGCTTTAGTATTCAGCTGCTAAACAAAAGGTCAGTGGTTCAGACCCACCAGAGGCTCCATGGTAGACAGGACCTGGCAGTGTGCGCCTGTAAAGATGCAGCCTGGGGAGACCCATCGGGCAGCTCTGCTCTGTCATGCAGGGTTGCCATGAGTCACAATGGACATGACAGCGCATGGTATCACCATGAGGACCATAGTCCCTGCTTTTTGGGTCCCATGAGACTTTGGTGAAGTCCCGTTTGCTTTGCTCTTTGTCAGTATCTGGGACAGTCCCTGGCACGTGGTGGCTCTGTATGAACAATGAATGAGTGGGTGAGTGAAGGGATGATGTAGTCTCCCAAGGGCAGGGCTGTGACCAGCAGGGCGTGGGAATGCACCTGCCCTGCCCCAGCTCTGCCACCCAGAAAGCCTAGGTTTGCTCAGGCAGTCACTTAGCACCTTGTGTCAGGAGCACTGAGCACAGCTGCCCGAGAGTGCATCTGCTCACACACCGCAGGAACGTGGCCCCAGGATCTCTCCTGAGCCCTGTGCCCAGCTCTGCTCAGTCTCCTACCCTTTGCACAACCCTCCTTCCCCCCTGCCCATCCACCACCTTCTGCCAAGAACTGCACTGCACCACTTCCTGGGGCAGAGCTGGCTGGACCAGCAGCTGCCCAGTCGGACCTGAGGGACCTGGCATCTTCTCATCCTGCACAGCCACTGGGCATCATGCATGCCATGTGCCCGTGGTCCTGGGCCTCCGCTCCCTCAGTGCTAAAGGCTGGCACTGCTTGCTTGTTCTCCCTGGTGACATGCGTCTGGGGCCTTGTTTGATTTAGTCCTCTGCCTTCCCCACCCTCTTCCAGCTGCATAGAGCCAAGTCCCCCATCAGCCTGAAGCGCCCATCGGATCTTCAAGGTGAGTGAGACGGGTGAGGCCTCCTGCCCGAGCTCTCTCTGGCTCTCTCCATCCATCTGTCTCTCCCCCTGCAGGCATTTGTCCTGCCAGGGAAAACCCAGGCAGGCCAGGGGAGCCTCCGGCTGGTGGGTATCCACTCAGGTGCTAATTAATGTTCATCGTCATCTGAGCCCCGGCTGTGGACAGGAGAGAAGCTGGCTCCCTCCACACGCTCCTACCTGCCCTGTGTCAGGAGCCCAAGCCACTTGGGCTGTGCGTGACTTTGCTCTCCAAGCCCGGGGCTCTCCCAAATACACTGTCTTCAGAGTCCCCCTTGCTGATCTATACCAGCTGGCTGGCCTGAGGGATTCCCGCCCCCAGTGTTCAGGGAGGTCCAAGGAGATGCCTCTGGAGCCTGTGTGTAGGAGGGGTGATCAGAGCAGGGTCCCTCAAGGGGGCATTGAAACTGGAGAAAGAGGAGAGTTCCAAACTGTGGGCACAGTCTCCTGCAGAAAGCTGCTGTGCCAGCCGGGGCCAGGCAGAAGAGTGTCTGAGGGAGGCGGGGATGGGGAGCCTCAGATGACGAGACAGACCGAGGGCTTCTAGGGGCTCTAGGAGGGTAGAGACCCAGCTATAGATGGGGGCTTCTATGGGCTCTGCGAGGGCAGGGACCAAGCCTAAATGAGTAGGAGATGCTCTGAGGTGCTCTGAGAGGAAGGGACCAAACCTCGATGGGGTAGGGGCTTCAAGAGCCTCTGGGAGGGCGAGGAGCAAGCCATAGATTGGGGGCTTTTAGGAGCTCTGGAAGGGCCGGGACTGAGCCATAGATGGGGGCTATGATGGGCTCTGGGAAGTGAGGGACCAAACCTAGATGAGTGGGAGGGCTTTGAGCTGCTGAATGCTGGGACCTGGTAAGGCCCCTCCATCCCCTCGAGGTGGGGTGGGGAAGCATGCATGTGTTTGCTCAGGTGTGTCTGTGTGCATACACCTACATAACTCTGTGAAGATGTATGTGTGTGTGTGTATATCTGTGTGCACCTTCATGTACCTGTGCTGGCATACATGTGTGTGTGAGAGCAAGCACTTGTATGTGTGCTTAAGTCTATGAATTTCCTGGGTACACGTGTATACACATGTGTGCTGGTGTGCATGTGTGCAGTGCATGTATAGGCAAATGTTGTGTGCACATGAGTCTGCATGTACCTGTGGCATGTATATGTGAATATGCTGGTGTGCATGTGGGTATGTGTATGTATGTGAGCATGTGTATGTATATGTGAGTAGGTATGCCTGCATGTACCTGTGCAGACTTGTGTGTGTGCTGGTGTGTGTGTGTGTGTGAGTATGCATATGTATATGTGAGTGGGTATGCCTGCATGTACCTGTGTAACTTGTGTGTCTTCTGGTGTGTGTGTGAAGGTATATACCTTCATGAACCTGTGTGCACACCTACCGATGTGTCGGTGTGCCTACAGGAGGGTGTGTATTGTGTGAGCATGCATATGTATATGTTAGTGGGTATGCCTTGTGTACCTGTATGCACACTCATGTGTGCATGTGTATGTGTGAGAGAGAGTGTGAGAGAGAGAGAATGCATATGCTTGTGTGCATGAGTCTGCATGTATGTACCTGTGTGCACACTTGTGTGCTGATGTGTATGTGTGCGAGCATGCATGTGCTTGTGTGCATTGTATATGCGTGCATGCACAGCCAGGTGAACCACAGAGAATGGGGACCTGTCACATCATCAGGGTACTCTGAACAGTGTGCCCGTGGTTCCTGAGGAAGCAGGAGAGACTGGGGGGTCTCTCCTAAGGAGGAGCAGACTTTGCCCGAGGCCCCTTTCCCAATCAGCCCTATTTGAATGGGAGGAAACAGAGGAAAAGCCACTGTCCCCGAGTGTCCACTGGGCTGAATGTCCGGGTGGTTATGGGCTCCTCCCCTATCAAATGCCCCTTAGAAGGAGGTACAGGCACAGCAGCCCAACAGAAAAGCCCCCTCAAGCCCTCCTGTCCTCCTCCTGTCTGGATAGCAGGCCGGGAAGAGGATGACCTGGATGCCAGCCCCAGCTCTTCTAACTCTCTGCCCCCCAGCAGCACCTTCGTCAAGATGGTAAGGACCAGTCACGCTCTGCTCACCCCTAGACATAGCACCGTGTCCCCAAGCCCCTGGATCCTGCAGCCTGGCCTGACCGTGTTTATTTAGAGCTGCTCTGTTGTCTCACGATGCATTTGCACCTTTACTCCGCCACCTTCCCCAATTTAACACTCGGTGGGAGAGAGCCAGGCCTCCCAGGGCTGCAAACTGCAGCATCCTGGCCGCATCTCTCCTGGCCAAGCCCTGCAGGTTCCCCGAGGAGGACCCTAGTGCCACCCCACCCCAGCCCAGCACTGAGGGAGTAGAATTGAAATTCCAGCCCCAAGGGTCATTGTAGGAGACTTGTCAGCACAGGGAGGTAGAGCTTTCCTAACAGAACGGTGACAGCTGGGGCAACAGAAACCTTGGCTGGTACTGAAAGCTGACCCCACAAGCCTCTGCGTCCCCATCCTGGCCAGAGCAGGGACCCACCCTGAGAGCTGGCAGATATGCCTTCACCCTTTGCACTCCCTTGTACCCCAAGCAGATGTTCAAGCAGATGTAGCTGTCCCCATTGCTGGCCACCCTGGGCCAGGTACCACAGTCTGGGGCCATTGTCACTAGTGTGAGTAGAAGGCGGTAGTGAGCTGAGTTAAATTTAGTTCCCATGGATGTAGCATTGCTGCCCTTGGAGGCACCGGAGTCTAAATGCCAGCTCCCCATTACACACGGTGTGTGTTTCCAAAGCCACCCCACCGGAATCGGAACAGCATCATGTCAATTACCGCAGAGCCACCAGGGAACGACTCCATTGTCCGGCGCTACAAGGAAGACGCCCCTCATCGCAGGTGGGGGTAGGGAGGGACCCTCGCCCCATGCTGCCATCAGTCCTTGGGTTCCCAAACAGGTGGGCGGGACAGAACCCATTTCACAGATGTGGAGGCTGCGGCTTGGAGACTCAAGGTGTCTCTCTAGAGCCCCCCCGGTCACCAGCCCAGCAATGTCTGGCTCCCTTTTCCCTCCTCCCCCACCATCCCCTTCTGCTCACCTGCCGATTGGGGGACACCCTACAAACTCCCACTCTGTCTTGCAGTACGGTTGAAGAAGACAACGATAGTGGAGGATTTGATGCTCTGGACCTAGATGGTACGTACCTGCTCCGTGTCCTGGGGCTGCCCTAACAAAGTGACACAAACTGGGTGACCTCGAAGGACAGACACCTTCCCCTACAGGCAGCCTGACACCTTCCCCTACAGCCAGAAGTTGGCTCAGCTCAGCCCACTCAGAGCCCCATGATGTCGAGTCACAGAGATGGAGAATGTCCCTGAGTCTTGCCCTATTGGAACCGTATGCTTTACCAGTCACCAGTGGGGATGGGAGGATGGGCCCATGCACGTATGCCTGAGCACCAACCAGCACAGTCCTCCTGGTGTGGCCTGTCAGTCCCCAGGGCTCCCTTCCTACCTCAGTGCTCACCAGCCAAGCCTGCCAATAGATCAAATGAAAGAGCCAAACAAACAAAAAACCTGCTGCCATCAAATCTATTCCTACTCATATTGCTCACGGAACTGCCCATAAGCTTTCCAAGTCTGTCAGTCTGTACAGACAGACTGCCACATCTTTCTTCCTCAGAATGGATAGAAGATTTGAACCACTAACCTTCGGTTAGCAGCTGAGCACTTTAACCACTGTACCACTAGGGCTCCTTCAAAATCAGAACTAGCTATTGCTAATCAAAAGTTCCCTTCCTCTAGATAAAAAAAGAAGTGTCAACAACTAGATAGCAGACCAGGCCTTTCCGTGAGAAAAGGCAGGCCTAACCCAGAAAGGACATGAGACTGTTTGCTCTGCTTGACCACCTAGGGATCCACTGAGCTGCAGTAGTTGCCGTCTCTCCTCACCCCCAGGCCTTCCTGCCCAGGGGAAGATTTTCCAGGAGGAGCAGAGGTCACCTGGTGCCTGGGCCAACCTCCTCCATCTTTACCAGCCCTCCACACTCACCTGCCACCACATCTCAACTTTGATGCTCCCCTTGCCTGTTGCACCTGGACCCTGATGCCCCCCTAACCTGGCCCCCCATTCCTTGCAGATGACAGTCACGAACGCTACTCCTTCGGGCCCCCCTCCATCCACTCCTCCTCCTCCTCCCACCAGTCCGAGAGCCTGGATGCATATGACCTGGAGCAGGTTAACCTCATGTTCCGGAAGTTCTCCCTGGAGAGGTACTGTGGCATGGTCATCAGAGATATTTGTCATCCTGGAGGTCCACAGCAGCCCCAGGGTGGGGAGAGCAGGGTGAGGGTCCCAGCAGTGGGTGGGGAGGAGCACAGAGGAGTGCCTGGAAACGGCACAGAGGCCTCTAGTACTGCATCCATGTCCTGTCATAAGGCCCCAGTGTCTGACAAAATCACTTCCTACTTGGCCCATCACAACAGCCCAACACAGACCCCTACCTGCTATCTTGTCTCCCACCTCAGGCCCTTCCGACCGTCGGTCACATCCGGGGGCCACGTGCGGGGTCCGGGGCCAGCGGTGCAGCACGCCACACTGAGCGGGGATGGTCTCAGCACACAGCTTACTCTGCTGGGCGGCAACGCACGGGGCAGCTTCGTCCATGTGGTCAAGCCAGGCTCCCTGGCAGAGAAGGCTGGCCTACGCGAGGGCCACCAGCTGCTGCTGGTGAGGGGGACACAGGTGGGGGGGCTCCATGTTATGGCAGGGGGCATCAAGGACCCCCAGCTGCTACTGCTAAGGGTGGGGACAAGGAAGGGAGGCCAGAGTTAGGGGCGGGGCCAGCAAGGGGCTTTAGCTCCTCATGTGAGAGCTCTCAGGGCCTCTTAGCCACTAGACATTTCCACTCCATGCAGCATACTGCACATGTACACACACACACATGCCAGCGCATATTCACACAGACACACGCCAGCACATGCATGCTCCTAAAAACACATGAGGGACAAAGGAACTGGTTTCCGGGGGAGGTTCTGGAAATGCCACTCTCCCTGCTCGTGCCACATAGCTTCTCCCTTGGGTTCACCACACTCTCTGGTCATTAGCTGGAAGGCTGCATCCGAGGCGAGCGGCAGAGTGTGCCCCTGGACTCTTGCACCAAGGAGGAGGCCCACTGGACCATCCAGCGTTGCAGTGGCCCTGTCACCCTGCACTACAAGGTCAATCACGAAGGTAAGGTCAGTCCCGCTCGCCCCATTCCACACCTCCATGCATCTGTTCAATAGGGGTAGGGCCAGCAGAGCAGCAGGCGACTATGTTGGTACAAACAGTTCCCACACTTGGCTGAGAGGTTATCAGAGGAGCCTCCGAAGAAAAGTTGGTTATCTACTCCAGAAAGATTACAGTCATGGAAAATCCCGTGGAGCACAGATCTGCTTGGACATGTGATGACCCCACATAGCCAGTGTGTCTACCTGTTGAAGTATGGGTCTCCCTTTGTGCTAGCTTGATAGTACAAGTCCACACTCCTGGTGTACTGCTCCGGCTTCACCCTGGGAAGCCTGAAGGGAAGATTGTGTTCCCAGCCAGATAGAAGCAGCAGATCCACACCAAGGAGGCCTTGTCCCCCGCGCAGCACCAAGCTTTTGTTTTGAAAGAGCCGTTCTCTGTGCCTTCATTAAGTTGGCCTCCCTCCCAGAAGCATCCCCACATGGCTGCTCTGGGAAAAGGGGGCCCTGAGCCCCTCACAGGTCTCTGTGGCCCCCAGCTCCGAGGCAGACCGCCATCCCTCTACCCTCCCTAGTGTCTTGTTACTGGTGTCTCCTCCTTCCATGACCCCTGTCACACCAACGATGCCATGGTTTCCATTTCCACATTCTCATTCTCACTTCTCCATGTGCCTGCCTGCTCTGCACAGTTGGCTGTCGTCTTTATCCCTGGCCTTGTGAATGTTTCAAGTTTTCTCCCAAGCCAGCACCAAGGGTACAGCAGAGCCAGAGATGGCATGTGAACACTGCCCCCTGGAGTTGTTCTGTGTTGTGACCTTGCAGCCTCAGATCCAGGGAGGAAAGAATGACTCTGTAGGGTCATGTTTCTAAAGCCCCGTCCTCCCAGAGGGTCCCTGGGCAGTGCACCTAGAACATGCTCAACTGCTAACCCAGAGACACCAGGGAAGAAAGGCCTGGCGTTTCCATTCCCTAGTCCTATTATCACAAGGGGGTAGCTTTCACAAACAGAAATGGATTCTCTCACAGTTTAGGAAGTTAGAAGTCTGAATTCAGGGTGCCGGCTCAGAAGAAGGCGCTCTCTCAGTCGTGATATCTAAGAAGTGCAGTAAAATGAGCCTGCCTGTGCGTGAGAATGTAAATGTCTGCAGTTTACCATACACAAGGGGGTTTCAAAAAGTTCATGGTAAAATTACATTATATTTTTTTATTCCATTTTTCCTGCAACATCTTAAGGCCCCCTTTTATAAACGATACGTCATTTTTTTAAAAACCAGAAGGAACAAGTGCTGTGCAGTATCAGGGTGCGTATAGAGATCATAGCCCAGAACCTCCTAAATGTGATTGTTCCAATTGGCACAAAGGTAGCACTGAGCTTCCTGAAAGCCATAGTTGTACAGCTGCCCACTCATCAGGAGGAAGAACTTTGTCTTAAAGTGAAACGCATCCCTGGATGCTGTGACTGAGGGGCCCCAGGAGGTGTCTTGGTGGCTGACAGCCCTAAGCCCATCTCCTCCTCTAGGGTACCAGAAGCTATTAAAGGACATGGAAGAGGGTCTCATCACATCGGGGGACTCCTTCTACATCCGGCTGAACCTGAACATCTCTGGCCAGCTGGATGCCTGTTCCATGTCCCTCAAGTGTGATGACATCGTGCATGTGCATGACACCATGTACCAGGACAGACACGAGTGGTTATGTGCGCGTGTCGACCTTTTCACAAACCACGAACTCGACATGGGCACCATACCGAGCTACAGCCGGTGAGATCAGGCCCAAGGGTCAGAGCATACACATCACAGAGCCCTCCACATACCCCCAGTCCAGTTCCATTCCCTGAGGCCCGCCCCTCTCTCCCCAGAGCCCAGCAACTCCTCCTGGTCAAGATGCAGCGGCTGATGCACAAGGGTGGCCGAGAAGAAGCAGATGGCACCCATCACACTCTGAGGGCCCCGCGGGTAGGTCCCCCCAGCCACCGGGAAAGGGAGAAGGTAACAAGTGAGAGCCACTGATACTGGAAGGATGAATTCTAGGGGTCTGGGTTCCTTAGAAATGTGCCTGACTGACCCAAGCGGCTTGCACTTGACTCCTAACTGAAAGCTTGGTAGTTCAAACCCACCCAAAGGTACCTCAGAAGAAGGCCTGGCAGTCTACTTCTGAAAGATCGGCCGTTGAGAACCCCATGCAGTGCAGTTCTCTGACATTTGTGGGGTGACCATGAGCCAGTTGACTGGATGGCATACGTTTTTGAATTGCCTAGGAATCAGACACCTCTCCCAAAGAGAGCCCTTTCAGCCCCAGGGCATGAGGGAAGCGAGGAAGACAGGTATGAGCCACGGTTCTCTACCCATCTGCCAGCTCTGGTTTCTGTTGATTGGAACAAGTCACCTTCCCTAAGTGTTGGGAAGCCTCTAGGTCCAGATGGCGCCCTCGTCAGATTCCATAATGGCGGTGTCTACCATGCAGTGACAAAGGGACGGGAGGGCCAGTGTCCAGGTCTCAGGCTAGGATGGAGCTTTCATCCCCTGCCAAACCCAGCCACCCTGACCCCTTGGCACTCTGCTTCCAGAACACCCTACAACCTGAGGAGCCTCTCTCCAGCAGTGACCCCCGCGTCAGCCCCCGGCTCTCAAGAGCAAGCTTCCTCTTTGGTCAGCTCCTCCAGGTAAAGCTCTCTCAAGTGCCCACCAGCTGGCCTATCACAGTCCAACTCTACCTTCTCCCAAAAATCACCATGTGTCATGTTGTGCAGCTTTTCAGGGTGCTTCGTGTCTCCTCCCTTTGGGTCCTCACCACGACAGACCACAGTCTGCACTTTTTAGAAGCAAGATGCTCCCATAAAAGATCTGAAGAACCATATGCTACAAGGCCCCTTAAACCACAGAGTTGTTAGAATAGAAATAGAAAAAGCAAGAGAGGAAAGCAACCATTCCAGGTATGAAGGCATCAGATTAAGGATGACATTGATCTCTGAGCCTCCTGGCAGCCCAGGAAAAAGGGAAACCCTCAGGTTCTGTAAGTCTTCTCTGAAGCATGTTTGCTCTGTGGTACCCGAAGGGACTTTGCCCTCTTTTTCCTTGTACCCAATTCCATTAGAACAAGGGATCCTGTAGTATAACGTGTGATAACTTCAGCAGTAACGTCACATATCCCAGCAGCATTGTGCAAGGCCACTACTTACGTCACCAGTTGATAGGCACTGAGGGAGTCATGTTCAGGCCACCCCTGAGCATGTTACTGTGTAGACGCTCCATGAATCATATCCCTGTGGAAGTGCTTTCCGAAGTCCCTGGGTGCTGCCAACAGCTAAGGGTGTGCTTATCTGCTTCCTGCCAGGTTGCAGGCTAGAGTCTGCCCAGAGGCATGTAAGAAAAAAATCCTGGTATGGTGCTGTAGGATACACACTGGACTGCTAACCACAGCTTGGTGGTTCAAATCAGAACTAAATCAATGACACTTAACAAAAAGCCCTGTGGAGCAGTTAGACTCTGACCCACACAGAGGTACCACGAGTCCAAGTTGACGCAACAGCAGCTGGTGACAAGGGTGTCTGGTTGTCACCACCCAGGGGATGTCTCCTGTCTCTGCAGGGCCCTGGCTGACCCAGACACCTCAGCCCACATGGGCCAAGGGGCTTGTCCCAGGCCTGGTCGAAAGCAGACTCAGTGGCTCTCTTCCCTGTCTCCCTCAGTTTGTCAGCAGGTCCGAGAACAAATACAAGCGCATGAACAGCAACGAGCGGGTTCGCATCATTTCGGGGAGTCAACCGGGGAGCCTGGGCCGGTCATCGCTGGATATCACCAAGCTGCTAATTGAGAAGCAAGAAGGTACAGTGGTGACCCCCACCCAGAAACACAGCCCCCTAGCCCAGAGCCACCCAGACACACAGCCCCTGTCCCCATAGGCTGCCCTGAACACACAGCCCCCCAGCCCAGGGCCTTGCAGAAACAGTGATGCCCCCAGCCCCAAGACTGCTCTGCCCCACACACACCCTGCTCCCCTTAAGAGTGGAAGCTGCCACAGGGAACTGAGCAGTCAAGGTGGGGGTGAGAGTCATCTGCTGGGCCTTGCTCTGGAGGACACTGCTTCCTCCTGTGGACTCCCTGCCATGCTCGCCCCCTCTCTGATACTCCCTGACGTTGGCGCGCACACCTAGACACCATGTTAATTGGAGCTGTTTGCCCTGAAGTGTTTATGTATCGATTTGTCTCGCCCACTAAGCGCCTCTCCCATTTATCAAGCCGTTCAGGCCACCGGGTATCTACCTCCCCGATACTTGGCACCTAAGATGGCCAACAGCTTTGCCCACCCCTGCACAGGGAGGCCAAGAGGGACTACATAGTGTTCAGTGCCAGACTGTTAGCTTCAGTCTGTCTACCAATAGACCCCTCCTGTCCCCATCCCCACACACGGCCAGAGGGGCTTCATGAGGTGCAGCCAAGACAGGTCCCCCCAACTCCAGCCCTAGTGGCTTCGCCATCCACCTGATCAAGCCCTTCTTCAGAGAAATGTCCCCTTCTGGAGTGATGTGACGTTGTGGATTTAGTGCACATCTCTTTCACTGCCACCAACCCCAAGAGGCAGCCGCCCCGCAGCAGGTCTCACCACCACCCTTCTCTGTGCCCACAGAGCCGGAGTCCGAGGGCGAGCTGAGTAGGAACCTCAACCTGGTCCCCTACAGCCTGGTGCGCTCTTTCCCCTGCCCGCGCCGGCGGCCGGTGCTCTTCTCACCCTCCCTGCTGGCCAAGACGCTGGTGCAGAAGCTGCTCAACTCAGGGGGTGCCTTGGAGTTCACCATGTGCAAGCCAGGTGGGTGCAGGGGCCCTGGAACCATGCCCACCCACCCCACACCATCAAATGCATTAGCCTCCGTGCCCACCCCTGGAGCTACACCCACCTCTGCACTCACTCCCAAAACCACACCCACCCACCCTCACCAGTCCACCCACCCTGCACACCACTACACCTTCCTCAGTGCCCACCCCCAGAACCACACCCACACCCCACCATGGGTTTGGAGGAGCCCCATTCAGCCCCTCGGGAAGCTGCCTCATGGAGCAGGGACTATGAAGGTGGAGGTGGGGGAGCTGGAGCACAGCATAGCAGAAGGCCCCTTCGTCTCCAGATGTTGTCACGAGAGAGGAGTTCCTCAGGAAACAGAAGACTGAAACCATCATCTTCTCCCGGGAGAAGAACCCAAACACCTTCGAGTGCATCGTGCCCACCAACATTGAGGCCGTGGCTGCCAAGGTGAGGCGCCCTGTCCCAGCCCACTGGTTCTTTCTGCTGTAGCTGTCCCTCTCTGCATTCATCCTGTGACCTCTGCCTCCCACAGCCCCACCCTAGGCTCTGTGTTCCAAAGGAAACTTCTGGTCCTTCTGGTCCTTCGGTGCCTGTATGGTCCGTTGTTAGCACTGTTTAGTCATGTGTGTGTCTACTTGGGATAACTGTCCAGAGTGGGTGAGCGGGTAGCAGGGAAAGTGGCCTTTGGGAGGGGGTGTTATTAGGCAGCACAAGGAAGCCAAGTCAGTCAGAAGGCATTGGTGGCTCCAGGCTGGAATTTCCACCTCCCAGAGTTCTCCAGCACTGCTGTAGCAGAAATTTCACAAACAGAAAGCTACTTTTTCATGGTTCTGACTCCTACTGACCCTGCATAGGGGGTTCTGAGAAGAAGCTGTTGAATTTGAACCACAGGTTCAAATGCACCTTGAGGTCAAGTGCATTATCCCATAGCCTCACACCAGGACTCCCAGTTTTAGGAGGCTAGAAGTCTGAATTCAGGGCACCTACTCTCTCTCTCTCTGTCAGCTCTGGGGGAAGGTGATTTCTCCTTTCAACATCAGTGAGCCCGGCATCCCTTAGAGGTAGATCTCCATGTGTCTTGGCATCAAGATTTCCCCTGGGTCTAGGAGGTTCCCAGCACAGGGGCTCCGGGTCCAAAGATGTAGTGGATTCCTGTCTCTTCTTATTTGGTGGAAGTCAGTTCCCTCTGATCTCTGCTCACTTTGTTTGTGGGATAATGCACTGGACTGCAAGGTCGGTTTGAACCACAAGGTAGGCAGTTCAAGCTTACCAGCTGCTGGAAACCCTATACAGAGTCACTATGAGTCAGACCTGACTTTACGGCAATTAACAACAACGTATCTCCTAAGAGATGGCTCCAAATGCAGCCTGCTCCTCTAGATTGCATGCTGCCACAGGAGCACAAGCCCTTCTCACCCACCTCGTTAGCATCAGAGTTGAGAATTACAACATACTGAGAATCAGGCCCAGCTGAGCTGACATATACTTGGGGGTGGGGGGGTGGGGAAGGGGAGTGGGGGCACAGTCCAAGCACCCAGGTTCGATTCCAGGCCTCTGCAGCTCACACATAGCCACCACCCATCAGGACATCGAGACTGAGCCCAACTAGGAGTGGGGCAGAGCAGGACTGACGGGGCTGTGCTCCTAGAACAAGCGCTGTCTGCTGGAGGCTGGGATTGGCTGCACTAGGGACCTCTTCAGGTCCAACATCTACCCCATCAGGATGGGGCTGACAGGGTGGGGCTGTGGGGCAGGGCTGACAAGAGCTGGTCTCCTAGAACAAGCACTGTCTGCTGGAGGCTGGGATTGACTGCACTAGGGACCTCATCAGATCCAACATCTACCCCATCGTGCTCTTCATCCGCGTGTCTGAGAAGAACATCAAGCGGTTCAGGTAGGTCCCCGAGGGCCCATGGGGCAAGACCCCCACTGCAGCACAGAGGCAGGACATGGAGCCACAGATTTAGTCATTAGGGGTCGAGAGAGGGAAGGGCTGGCCCACGTCACCGTAGAGGGGAGGGTGCTGATGCCCAGACCCTGCAGCAGGGGTGGGTGGTCAGAAGGGCAGTGGGAGGGGTCACTGAGACCAGAGCAGGACATGCAGGTCACTGTCTTGGAGCTGTTGTACAGAATGCCACAAGTGGACAGGGGAGGGAGCGTTTTAAAGACCAGAAACTGCTGACTCCATACTGGGGGTCTGAGATCAGGGTGTCAGCCTGTGGACTCTCTCTGAGGCTGAGTAAGAACCCGTCCTCTCTCTCTGAGACCCCTGGGATCTCCTCATGGCATCTGTCACCCCCTGTATGTCTGTCCTCACGACCACTCCCCTTTGATAAAAAAGACACCACTCAGGAGAATCCTAACTGACCACATGACTCTCTCAGTCTGAAGGCACGAGTCATCCCTTCACAGCCATGCTGAGCGCACCACCCTCAGTCTGAAGGGATCAGGCTGCTGGTTTGACGTAGGATATGAGAGGCTCCCTGTTGCCGCTGCATTGAGTAGGGTTGACAGCCGACCCAGTGAGAGGATAGGGGTCACTCAGGACGCATCCTGAAGGGCCAGCCTGCAGGATTTGTGAGAGGGCAACTTCAGGGTTGGGAAGGAAGAGTGGAAATGAGGGGTGACGGCCTGGTGTCTTCTTTCTCTAGCGCTGTTGCAGAAATACCACAAGGGGGTAGCTTTCATGAACAGAAAGTGATTCTTTCACAGTTTTGGAGGCTAGAAGTCTGAGTGGAGGGCAATGGCACCAGGGGAAAGCTGTCTGTTGACTCTGGGGGAAGGTCCTGTCTCCTTTCTGCATCTGTGAGCCTGGCATTCCCCGTCATCTCCATTAACATGGCCAACAGCTGGGAGGGTGGCTAGGGAAGCCGGGGAAAAGGCCCACACTCCCTCCCAAAGCTCTGGGATGGCCAATCCACCACCACATATCTGCCCTGTCTGCCTGCAGGAAGCTCCTGCCGCGGCCCGAGACCGAGGAGGACTTGCTGCGTCTGTGCCGTCTGAAGGAGAAGGAGCTAGAGGCACTGCCCTGCCTGTACGCCACAGTGGAGGCCGACATGTGGGGCGGTGTGGAGGAATTGCTGCGTGTCATCAAGGACAAGATCGGCGAGGAGCAGCGCAAAACCTTCTGGGCGGACGAGGACCGGCTATGAGGCCCAAGACCCCAGGGGCTGCCTCCCACCCAGCTGTCCTTACGGTCCCTGGGGACAGATAGACCTGAACCAGAGCAGGAGTCTCAGTTCCTCAGCTTCCCGGGCCGTTTCTCATCTTCACTGACATTCTCCGAGAGACAAAGCCAGGCAGAGGATGCCCAGTCAGAGCCCAGGGCCAGCAGGCTCTTCACAGGCCACAGCAGCAGTTGAATGTAATATGAGGCACAGGTGCACCACCTGGACAGGTGTGGCTGGACAGGTGTGGGGCAGGTGGGCTGCCTGGACCAGAGGCACCGCCACCCCTAAAGTGCGCAACAAGCACATCCCCGCCGGGACAGGTTGGCGGGGGCAGTACGCTGTGTTTTTCTTGCATTAAAACATCCACATTCCTTGGTTTGCCGCCATTTTGTTTATCAGTGCTTGCCCTTACCACCTTCCTAAACTAGAAATCCCCCACCTCCACAGCCCACCAGTGAGGTTAGTTCAGGCCCCAGTGAGCATGCAGAGGGCGAGTCAGGACACGTTGCTCACAGCACCCCTGTGAGCTGAGTGACTGAGGTGGTCCCGATTTGGACACTCAGTTACTAAGTCAAGTAGGAACAACCCAGCCTCCGGAGCTGCTGGAGGACCTTCTGCCAGTACCCCCCAACACCCCCGACCCCAGCGCAGACCTCAGGCCACTCCTTACTCAGCCCTCTGCCCTATGAACTGTGGGGCAAGTGGAGTCAGGGGTGGGGGACAGCTGGCCTCTTTCCCCCCCACCCCATGGATGCAGAGGAGGGACAAGTGGGGACAGCTAAGCCTCTTCCATTTTCATCTGAAAAATGCTGTTATTTCAGCTCTCAGCTACTTGCAGCCCAGAGCAAGTCCTAACAGGTACAAAAGCAACATAGGAGCCCTGAGGGGCACAAAGAACTCATCCAGAGGTACCTCAGAGGAAAGACCAGGCAATTTACTTCTGAAAAATAAGCCACCAAAAACTCCATGGAGCATAAATCCACTCCAGTGCACACGGGGGCACCATGAGTCAGGGTTCACACCACAGCAATAACCCTCTTCTTGCTGATTTTGAATACATGGACACAAGTCTTTCCTCTCCTGGGTTCTTACCACGTCTTCCAGAAACTAATCTTTTATCCAAGAAAACAAAGCTAGGAGGGCCTGTGGGAGATGCCAGCCCTGGACTGCCCAGTATCTCCTAGCATTTCCCACTTCAGTGGCAAGTTAGCAACCCAAAGCCCGAGGAGGTGAAGGGGTCTTCCTGGCCCCTGAAGCTCCCCTCAGCCTTAGCAGGCCAGCATGCTGAGGAGAAGAAGAAAACCAGCCCACACTTGAGGAATACCTTCATGATTCCACCTTGGAGATGCAGTTCAGAGAGAGGTTGGGGGAGGCTCAGAGACTGTTCCCTGGCTGGTGCCGGAACTCTACTCCTGATCCAGGAATTTCATTGGATTTCTTTGCATTTAATAAAAAACAGATCAGAAACCAAAGGCAGAAGTCACTTTTGCCTATGTTCTGCTTCCTGGCGGACCTGAGACCTATCTTGACTGTGGTGTAGTTGGATGGGATGCTGAGGCTCCTCCCTGCCTGGTAGCCAGGGTTTGGAGTGCTGGGCCCCCTCTCCTCACAGTCAAGGATTGGTGTTCTTGAGCCCTCTCCCCTCCTCACAACCAGGGATTGGGGGTTGGGGTCCCCTCCCAAATTTGCAGCCAGAGATGGGGGTGCTGGGGCCCCCTCCCCAATTCACAGGCTCTTGCTATCAGATCTGTTGATTCTCCCAAGCAGCCACAGTGGGATTGGGGGTCCCGCAGCCCTGCCTGGACTGTCTTTCCTTGGTTCTCATTGATTTTCCATCACATCCATCAAAATAACTCACTTGTGCGTCATCTGGGCAGCCACTGCAGAAGCTTCCTACTCCCTGTGCCAGGAGACCTCTGGGGTTTCTGAGCTTGAAGAACCTCTCAACAGCTAACCTTAACATTGGTAGCTCAAACCCACTCAGCAGAGCCTTGGAAGAAGGGCCTGGCAGACTTCTTCTGTAAAGATTGCTGTGTGCTGTGAGAGTGACCCTATAGAATGGAGCAGAACTACCCCCTACAGGCTTTCCCAGGCTCTCATTCTGCAAGGAAGCAGACTGCCTCATCTTTCTCCCAAGGAGCAGATGGTGGGTTTGAACTGCATACCTTACAGTTCACAGCCCAGTACTTAACCCACTGTGCCACCAGGGATCTTAAATTAATGCCTATTCTCTCCATCTCTACTGTAGCTGACACTCGTCCCCTCTCTGGTTTCCTAAGTGCCCCTCCCACTGACATGGGACCTCCCCACCCCCCAGCAGGGGTGTCCTAACCATGTGCGACATGAACCTTATTCTGAATTAAATTATACACACTCTGCACCCTCAAATATAGGTTGAATTTGGACTCTTGTACCTGGGCATGTGACCCAGTTTGGAAACGGGGTTTTCTTTGTTACATTAGTTAGATCATGCACAGCTGGGTAGAACAGGTTCTAAATCTAATCATTTCTGAATTCCTAAAAGAGCGGATTACACCCAGAGACAAACACACAAAGAGGACAAAACCAACGAACTCTCAGAACTCTGGACCAGGAAAACATCCACTTGGCCAAGACTCAATTTAGACCCTCCAGAATGGTGTAAACATAAAGGTCAGCTCCTTAAAGCCACCCACGTGTGGTATTTCGATTCCAACAGCCCTAGTAGGATAAATGGAGAAAAAAATGAGGTTGTCAAAGATTTCATTTTACTTGGGTCGCCATCAACACTCATAGAAACAGCAGTCAAGAAATCAAATGACATATTGCACTAGGCAAATCTGCACAAGACCTCTTTAAGGTGTTCAAGAGCAAAGATGTCAGTTTGAGGACTAACGTGCGCCTGACCCAAGCCATGGTATTCAATAGCCTCATATACATGTGAAAGTTGGACAGTGAATAAGGAAGACTGTAGAAGAATTGATGTATTTGAGTTATGATATTGGAGAATATTGAAGGTACCATGGACTACCAGAAGAACAATCATGTCTGTGTTGGATGAATTACAGCCAGAATGCTTCTTGGAAGCCAGGACAGCGAGAGTCGGTCTATCATACTTAATAGCTTATTATTAGGAAGGACCAGTCATGCTTGGGAAAGTGGAGGATCAGCCAAAAAGAGGGAGACCCTCCAATAGTGGCAGCAGCAGCAATGGGCTCAAACACAGCGAGAATTGGGTGGATGGTGCAGGATTGGGCAGTGTCTCATTCTGTTGTGCAGAACCCAGGTTGCTAAGAGGTGAAACCAGTTTAATGGCACTTAACAACAACATTGCTGATGTCAGATGGGTCTTGGCTGAAAGCACAGAATACCAGAAAGATGTTTACTTCTGATTTATTGATTATGCAAAGGCTTTCGACTGCATAGATCATGACTCATTGACATCTAACAAGTAGGATAAGCACTGAACTGCTAACAGCAAAGTCGGAGAGTCAAACCCACCAGCTGCTTTTCACAAACACCCAACAGGTTCTCTAGAAATAATAAATGACTCAACAGCACTTAGCAAGAACCACAATGGGAGATTAAGACAAACCCATGTATTCCCTTTTCTTCCAAATACTATTTCTAAATACCTAAAATAAAACGCAGAGGATTGTTAGGGAAGCCAGTTTGGTTGAAATACAGTTATCAAAATATTTATAGAGAAAAATGTGTAATGTAGTCATTTCTGGATTTTTGGTGAATGCACTCAATAACAAGATGTGGTGATGGGTCTAATAACTGTCATTATTTCAGAGTTGTGATGAACGTGAATGGTGTTTTAAGTTATCAGCAACAACTGGAGCAAGATATGAAAATGCATGTAGATGCTTCTATTGGCAGGTAAGTCCCCGGTACTGCTGATACACACCTTGTGGTGTATTGCTTCCTTTTAGAATGGGGGGAAATACTAGTTTTCGATTATTGTTGTTGGTATTGCTTTCTTATCCCACCTCCAACTCATGGCGACCCCCATGCACAATGGAATGAATCGATGCCCAGCCCTGCCCCATTCCCATAACTGGATCAGACCATTGGGATCCACAGGGTTTTCATTGACTGATTTTAAGAAGTAGATTACCAGGCCTTTTTTCTTAGTCTGTTTTAGTCTATAAGTTCCTCTGAAATCTGCTCAGCATCTGTCTTAGGCCAGGTTTTCTAGAGAAACAAAACCAGTGAAATACATACATATGCTTATATATAAAGAGAAGTTTATTGTCAAGGAAATGGCTTACAATTGTAGAGTCCCAGGTCCCCAGTGGAAGAGAGCAGTGGAAGCTTCCCCTCCCACCCTCATGTCCATTATATTGTGAGCAGACCACACCCCCAAGGAAGCATCTCTTCAATTGATTGGCTGCTCATAGCCACTCATTATAATATTAACTATGCCTGTATTAGGTTTCATCACCATGGGAATAAGCATCATGGCCTAGTCAAGTTGACATAGAACCCTAACTATTACAGCATCCAAGCAACCCACACACCTCACTGACAGACGGGTGATGGGTATACATGAGGCCAGGACTCGAACTCAGGTCTCCTGCATAAAGGCAATAATTCTACTACAGAATCACAAACACCCTTAACTTTCAATTAAACCAAAACCCCTACTCCCTGCCATTAAGTCAGTGAGGACTCAAGTTGGTGTTATGTACCATCAAGGCAGTTCTGACTCATGGCAATCCTGTATAGGGTTTCTGAGGCCATCAATCTTTGTCATCATCATTCTCCAGGGCATAGGTAGATATAAAAAAATGTCTGATCAGTAGATGGATAGATGGATTGTGGTTAAGTGCCAATGAGTTCAATTCCAACTCATAGTGACCTGTATTTCTAAGGAGCAAGCTGGTGGGTTTGAATCACTGACCTTGTGGTTAAGAGTCTAGTACTTATCTTACAGCGCCACACCAGGACTCCACTCTCTTAGTGACCCTGTATGTTGTCAAGTGCCGTTGAGTTGA